GGATAACATTACTAACAACAAGTGAAAGAACTTTTTAATAAGTTAGATCTAAAAACCTATCCGAATATGACACTTACTATGAAGCAGTCAAAATTGCAGTTGTCATCCAGAGATATAGACCTAGAAAATATTACTTTGAAACTTAAAGAAACTCATAAAAAACATCAAAAAACAGTTACTTATAATTTTAGAAAATAAGAAAAAAATATTTGAAAAAGAAGTTGCAACAAAAGTATTTTTGATTTGTATTAAAATTAGTAGTATTTTTTTTAAATAGTAATAAATTTATATCTTCATTTATCTAAAAATAAAAAAATAAAAAATAAATCAAATAAAGATTATCTAATCACTAAATGTGTGTATATCTGCTTATTGGCTAATTATTAGACACATGAATAATAAATAAATTATTAATATATATGTGATAAAAAAAAAATTTACTATTAATTTTTATATAGGACTATATACATGTAACCAAAACCTCTAGATTTTCAAACCTAGTTTCAGTTTTAGATTTCATCAATTTTCAGTCGAAGATGATTATTTCTGAAATTAAAATCTTTGGTTGAAAGACTAACTAAAGCTAAATCTAATTAAAGCCCTTATATGTAAATTGAAATTCTAAACAAAGCATTATATAGTAGACAAAACTCTTAAAAAAGATAACAATGAATAAAATTAAATATTTTTAAAATAAAAATTTTGTAATAAATTTTTTTCTTTAAATAAAAAATATTATCAAGAAAAAATCTTTAATTAAGAAAAGTGTTAAGAAAAATGTAGGCAGACATTCTTCTAGTAAAGTATAGAATTGGGTTGTAAAAGGAGATGAAACATTCAAAAAAGGATACTATTCTGCAATATGCTCTTTTTGTGATCAATATTGGGCTCTTGCTAAACCAAGTAAACTAAAAATGCATCTTGCGTATAAATGCCAAAAAGTTGATTCAGATACTAGAATCAAAGTTTTAATATTATTGATAAATAATTGTATTGATTTAAATAATAATACAACCTTAACATCGACTATAATAAGTAAAAAATGAAAATTAGAAAATGGTATTAATATTGATAGCAAATATGAAAATATTCCTACTTCATTAGATAAAGAAGACCAAATTAATAAGATATTACTAAAAATAGTCATATGTTGTAATTTATCTTTTACTATTATTGAGCATCTATTTTTTCAAGAATATACCAAAGCCCTTTATGCTACCTATTCTATTTCAAGTTATTGGGTTTTATCAAACATTCTTTTAGATCAAGAGCTTGTTTGAGTAAAT